GTAAAAACTTGGTAACAGCCACCCTCGAAGCAGATATATTAGAGCTCCGTGACCTAAATGGCTTCAACATTTACTCCACTTCAAAAACCCACTCCCAAGACTCCACACTAGACCATGTTAACACTGGAATTGCGCCCCTCTGAAACCGTTAATTCCAACACCCAACTGTTGGGCCATAATCTTTAAACCTTCTCCTTCCTTAACTACCACCTTACCCCACCAAGTCCTCCAGTCTCTACGTATCTCCATTTTTACCTCAGTTCATCATTTTCCTTTGCTGTATCTTTCTATTATATTATTCTACAATGTGCTGTATTTTTTTATATTTTGCTGTATCTTTATTATTGCATTTATCATACAGCATTATAATTTATATCAACATTTGTTTGTTTTCTCTGTTAGATCATAACTTTCTGCAGAACATTCTTGGATTATTATTCTTGGCCCTGCATCATTAACACCCAGAACAGGGCCTGGCCCTCAATAAGTGTTCAGTAAATGTTTGGCGAAGGAATGGGTAAAATGTTCTTGTCATTTTCACCACCAGACTACAAGCTCTCCAAAGGCAGAGACTACCTACTCTACATATTTCCTATAATTCCTATTGGGAATATGGTGCCTCACATATATCAGAACCTCATGGAGCATGTGTTAAATTGTAAAAGGATGAAATGTATTAGATACTGTGTAAGACATACAAAAATATGATCCTTATCCTCCTACACTATTGGTGAGAATGCAATCTGGTGCAGTCACTCTGGAAAACAGCATGGAGGTTCCTCAAAAAGTTGAAAATAGAGCTACCCTACCACCCAGCAATCGCACTACTGGGTATTTACCTTAAAGATACAAATGTAGGGATCCGAAGGGGCACGTGCACCCAAATGTTTATAGCAGCAACATCCACAAAAGCCAAACTATGGAAGGAACCTAGATGTCCATCAACAGATGAATGGATAAAGAAGATGTGGTATCTACATAAAATAGAATACTATGCAGTCATCAAAAAAAAATCTTGCCATTTGCTATGACATGGATGGAGCTAGAGGGCATTATGATGAGCAAAATGAGTCAATCAGAGAAAGACAATTATATGATCTCCCTGATATGAGGAATTTGAGAGGCAGAGTGGGGGGTTCGGGGGGTAGGGAAGGAAAAAATAAAGCAAGATGGGATTGGGAGGGAGACAAACCATAAGAGACACTTAATTTCACAAAACAAACTGAGGGTTGCTGGGGGAAGGGGGTTATGGAGAGGGCGGCTGGGTTATGGACAGTGGGGAGGGTATGTGTTATAGTGAGTGCTGTGAAGTGTGTAAGCCTGATGATTCACAAACTTGTACCCCTGGGGCTAATAATACATTATATGTTAATAAAAATAATTAATTAAAAATACATTCCCAGCTCTTTTTTTGGAATTATTATTTCAACAATCATTTAAGATAACCAGATGGTTATGAGGCAAATGTAAAAAATGTTCATTATGGCAGAGACAAAATAATATAATGGAAAGCACTGGCTATAACTCGGGAGGCCTGTGCTTCAGTCTTGGCTTTGCTACTCTGATCTACAAATAACCATCTCTGTGAGCCTTAGTTTCCTCATTTTTTAAAATGGAGTTTTATCAGAATTCAATTCTTCTTCGCACCCCCCCAAATTCAATTCTTCATCATCTAAGGTTCCCTAACATGCTATGCCTCTTAAAATTTGTATTATAAAAGTGATATACCCTCGGGACGCCTGGGTGGCTCAGTTGGTTAAGCAGCTGCCTTCGGCTCAGGTCATGATCCCAGCGTCCTGGGATCGAGTCCCACATCCGGCTCCTTGCTCATCAGGGAGCCTGCTTCTCCCTCTGCCTCTGCCTGCCATTCTGTCTGCCTGTGCTCGCTCTCTCTCTCTCTCTGGCAAATAAATAAATAAAATCTTAAAAAAAAAACGTGATATACCCTCAATATAAAAAATTATACATGCCCTTCTGAATTGTTTAGGTAAAGGGAAGTTCCCACTCTCCACTCTATTTTCGTAACTCCCTAAAGGTAACCACTCTCAACAGTTCCTGGTATCTTTAAGGCATTGTTCATGTATAAGCAAGTATAGACTAAGATTCTTGTTTTTATTTACCAACTGCACAGTCCCATCAATTCTAAAGGAACCTTGACAAAATGAAAGGACAATTATAAATACTTCAATAACAGGGGTGCCTAGGTGGCTCAGTTAAGCTTCTGCCTTCAGCTCAGGTCCCCATCCCAGGGTCCTGGGATCCAGCCCCTGCAACATCAGGCTCCTTGCTCAACAGGGAGTCTGCTTCTCTCCCTCTGCCTACTGCTCTACCTACTTGTGTGCTCTCTTTCTAATAAATAAATAAAATCATTTTTTAAATAAATAAAATCTTTCAAAAAATACTTTGACAAGAGAAAGATAATTATCTACTCAAAAGGCCAATAGTAGAAAAAATTAAAACAGAAATAAGTATTTAAAACTTCCTGTTTCACACCACCCACCCCCACCCCCCACTGTGCAACGTAATGTGAGTAAAAAGCATATGACAAGAAAAGAAATTTAAGGTGGGAAGCTTAAATGTGGAAGAAATGTGGGAGGCATGGGAATTGTGGAGAAAGAAGAGAAAATCATACCAATGTCACAACCACAGAAGAATGTATAAAAGGCCCCCAAATCACAGAATTTAAATATTAAAATTGCAAACACAATTTTGAAATACACTGTGGGCCTAAGGACAGACTCAATTACAGAAAATGCAGTGTTGTTTTCCTATAAAAATGCCATCCCAGAGACAAATGTAGATCACTATATCCTTGATTTTCTTGACAACAGCATCCTGTAGAGATCTATATCTAAGTCTAACAAGGGTATCCACATATTATAAAACCCAAAGATGAAATAATAGTATTTTTGACCAGTCCTTCTGATAGTGACAAAAATATATCCTAAGATTATAGTTGTCATAAGAATTTTTTTTTTTAGAAGATAGAGCAAAAAATAGGTCATTAGTAAAATAGAGAACTAGTTTCCTGTGAATATAGTGAAAATTGCAATCTAATGGCTGGACTATGGATTTCTCTTTCATTTAGTACCAGAGTAAACATTACGGAACACGTTAGAAAGAAAGCCAAGTTTTAACTTTTACATCCACCCAGACAACATAGATTTCACCTACACATGTCCCAGTTTTACCCCTATCATGTAAAATGACACCACTCTATACTGTAAAGAATGCTTGTAAATAAGATATGGACAGCAGCCTGGATCAGGATCCTGTTCCACAAGAATAACACATTACTGAAGTCCACTTTTTAAACAGAATAAAAGTACAATTCTATAACATATAAGTCACAAGTGTAACATTTAGCTATAAATTGTCTAATGACAATTACGGCAATAAAAAAAAATTTAACACTGCTATATCTTTACCTGGCATATATATTACAACCTAAAAACAGTATGATGGATATAAACTAAAACTACAATTTAGAATTTGGAGGAAGAGAAAATGATAATCATTTTTATTCCATAACATAATTTTAATACCACAGTACATTGCCAAGAAGTTGTAAATAGTTAAGTCCATATCTCCATAAAATAAATTAGTCATGGATAAGTGAATTTGAGGACTACAAACTTTACCAAATCTACCTTATTTCCAAACACTCAAAAACACAAACCGAAAAAAGGAACTAAAATCATTCTGGTTTCCTGCACCCTTTAGGTTAAGAGGAACATTATTTCCTGACACCGGAAAATGTCAAGTCAGTAGCTGAAGCTATGGTTTTCAAATTCAGGTAGAATACCATTTTAAGAGTCTTTAAGATTCTTAAGAGAAACTCTCACTACTTGACATATCTATGTCAGAATTTAACACAAAACTAAACATATAAAGCAATACAGCAATTCTCAAACTTCTCTACCCCACAGTCTGAAAAATGTTATGACCTTTTCTTATCTCATCTCTCTCTTGCATCACCTCTTCCCATTAAATCCAGTAAAAACTTCCAAACCTGCTAACACAAATTAGTTTAGGCAGCTAAATTTCTGCAGTGGTGAAGTAAGTCAGAAGTGGCTTGTGTACTACTACTTCCTGACTACAGACTCAATACACCCCATTTAAAGTGCAAAGTGAAAGAATTATGTAGAAATCAGGCCTTAAGAGCCTCTTTAAAAAATTATATGGCGGTGGGCGCCTGGGTGGCTCAGTGGGTTAAAGCCTCTGCCTTCAACTCGGGTCATGATCCCAGGGTCCTGGGATTGAACCCCGCATCGAGCCCCGCATCGGGCTCTCTGCTCTGCGGAGAGCCTGCTTTCTCCTCTCTCTGCCTGTCTCTCTGCCTACTTGTGATCTCTGTCTGTCAAATAAAGTCTCTCTGCCTACTTGTGATCTCTGTCTGTCAAATAAATAGATGGAATCTTAAAAAAAAAAATTATATGGGAATCAGGCCCTAAAAGCCTCTTTAGAATTTCTCCATTTGACAGGACAGCACAATAGATCCACCAGCCTTACCCTGAGCTTAGCTTCTTGAACCACTGTCTGTAAAACATGCATTTTTAAAAAGAATTTTATGATACAATAACTGAAGTCTTTGTAGGAAAGCCAATAACTAAGCTGCAATCAATAACTATTGCTAGTAACTAGCCTTAAAAGCAGACTGTGATAGAGCCCCAAAGCTAGCTCTCCACTAAATTTTCACAATTTAGGATTCTTTGTGCAGAAAACTATTAAATTATTTGATATTCATCCTTAACCCAAACCACCCATCTCAATTCCAGGGAGGCAAAAATGAAGAAGTCAAAATATAAATCTACTTTCCTTCCCACATGCCAAAGTATTACTGCAGACAGTTATTGTGCTCACCATTATTCCAAAGGGTTCCTAGGCACCTCAAATAAAGGTTCCTCATTCCTGATGATTACTGTATAATGGAAAAGTGGCAATCAACCAGATATATAAGCCAGTAATCAACGTATCCTGTCATCTGTGTCTCCACTTACCCTCAGTAACATCCTGGGGGTTAGAAGTCCGATCACTAGCTGGATCCAGTGCAACAGTTGCTAGTGAAGTGGTGGCTCCAGACATCTCACTCATAGGCTCACTACGGCTTGTTTCAGGCACACTTTCCCTTGAGCTAAATCTTACTCGGGAACTGGATCGGGAGCTGAGGTCTGGGCTGGTATCTGACAAACCTGGAATGTCATCGATCTTCGTTGGTGTCACCATGAACCGAACTGAAGCCATCTTGGTGGTGGTTTCTGGAGGATGCATTATTCTCTTTTCCTTTATAAGAACAAAGAAAAAAGGAAAACCCTGCAAAATCCTTCCTCCTACACTAGCTACTTTTTTGATCGCAAAGATGGAAAAGACAACTTAAAAAAAAAAACAAACCCTCAATAACCTTGATTTACACCACAAAAAAAGTCCCAAATAAGAATCCTTCTAACTCAGAATTCAGACAGACTATCCTAGAAAGTGCACTAGCAGTAAATATTTAAGGAAAAAAAAAAAAAAAGACTTAACGATGCCAGTCCCGTGGAACTTCGTTCCTTCTGAAAGAAGAGTTATCTAGATGTCTCTCCTGGTCCAGGACTGCGGGCTCAGTGCCATGGTCTCAGAGAAGGTGAAGGCTTTCTCCCCTCGACCCCCAGGTTTCCGCCGAGGTAGTGAAGTCTTTTATCTGGTAAATGTCCCACGGTTCTAGATGAGCAAAGAGCGCGCAGGCCCACCCTTATTAGGCGAATATAGCACAGATCAGATTGCGAAACGGTGTACACCCGGCCACCTGTTGTGTATCAGGTGAATACCCCACAGGTCTGGCTGGGAAGTGTGTGTAGAGCCACCCGATGTTTTGGAGGCCAATAATCCGCTTGGGTCTGGTGGGAGGGATGCGCATGCATAACGGGAAAATACCCCACACTACCGGATAGAGGAGAATGAAAAGGGCGAGCAGGGGGTGCAGGGGCAGAGCGGATTCCCGTCTCCAAGAGGTCTGCGGGGGTGGCCCACCCGCTCTTCTGACGGAACGGTCTCTAGGATCTGGGAGGAGGCGGCTAGCGAGCGGATAAAGACCCCTCGGACTGCAGTTCAGGGTCGTGGCAGGTCGTTGCTAGTCCATCGAGCCCACGGTCGGCTCCCCGGGTTTCTCCTGCGTGTGACAGGACGGGCCACCCCTTTGCCGGAGGACGCTTTCTCCCCCACCAGGGCCGCGGCGCAGGTCAGCCCCTCGCCGTTCTTCCTTCGGGTCGTAGCAAGAGAGGAGATGGCCTCGCAGGCTGGCCGGGGCTGAGCAGGAAGGGGCGGCGGGGATGAGGGTAGGGGGAGGTCGCAGGTGCGGGATCCCGGCGCCAGCTGATGCGGATGCGCGCGCAGCTGTTGTTTACGAGCCGGTAACTGTTTCGCAGCCGCGGCGCGCGCAGGAGGGCTCCGGCTGCCGGGGAGGGCGCCCCCTCCCCGGGCCGACGCCAGAGCAGCCGTTACGTGACCTCGCCGCCCCCAGCCCCGGGCCCGGCGGGCTGTGCCAGCCCCGCCGCAGCCCCTCCCTTCCCTCCCAGCTCGTTCCTCATTCGAGGTTAACGGTCCGAAGAAAAGCCCGGGGGAGCGGTCGGAGGGCGGTACCGTCCCGGGAGCGCCGAGGAGCCCCGCCCAGGCTCTGCAGTCTCCAAGGGGACGTAAAGGGCTGCGCGCATGCGCCACCGGGTCGCGGCGGGACGAGAGGAGCAAAATGTGCGAGGCCCGGAGGAAGATGGGTATTGTAGTTGAGTGTTGGGGTCTGAGCTGCGTGCTCTGGAGAAAACAAATAATTTTCTTTCTGGGTCACGCTGTGTTGCACAAACTCACTCTGGAGGCATTCGGGGAGCACACATGCCCCTTGCCCTCCGAGTCCCCAAAACCATCTCAAAAGCGTCTCCGAAAATACCGTTCATAATTTCTTTAAAAATCACAAACCTCCCATACCATATGCGTAGGTATGACACCAACTGAATTTTTTTTTTTTAAAGACTCTATTTATCCACTTGACAGATCACAAGTAGGCAGAGAGGCAGGCAGAGAGAGAGAGAGAGAGAGAGAGAGAGAGACGCAGGTTCCCCGCTGAGCAGAGTGCCCGACGCGGGGCTCGATTCCAGGACCCGGAGATCATGACCTAGCTGAAAGCAGAGACTCAACCCACCGAGCCACCCAGGGGCCCCCCCAACTGAAATTTTTAAGGTGTATTCTCAATTATATGCATTTTGTGCTAAATTTCTTTCCCCTGTCCTTAAAAATGTCTTTTGCTATGTATGCATATATCAGCTCATCATGTTGTACACCTTAAATATATACAATTTGGTCAATTATATCTCAATGAGGCTGGAGAAAAATGTTTTTTTCACCTTCTAGTTAGACTGAAGATTCATTTAAAGAAAATGTCCTTTATTTTAGACCTGAAGAAAACAGAAAACTTTTTTTTACTCCACTGCCACCAGAATATTTTTCTTAGCATGTTTATTTCAAGTGTTCAATAAATTTGACTCATCGATGTTTTGTTTGAAAGTTATTGCCTATAGCTTTGATGGAGACATTTAAATTTAACAATCTGTGCCCTAGCTTTGCCTGGGTCCTTACACCTCACAAGTGGAAATGTTTAAACGTCATCCTTAGCAATAGGTCAGAACTGTATTGAAGACCTGAGTCAGGAAATTCTCTTTTATCAAATGACACATAAAATCCAAAACGTGGTTAAAAAGATCCAGTAATAAAAACTTTTTAGGGCACCTGGGTGGCTCAGTGGGTTAAAGCCTCTGCCTTTGGCTCAGGTCATGATCCCAGGGTGCTGGGATCCAGCCCAGCATCGGGCTCTCTGCTCAGCAGGAAGCCGGCTTCCCCCTCTCTGCCTACTTGTGATCTCTCTGTCTCTGTCAAATTAATAAATAAAACCTTAAAAAAAAAAAAAAAAAGAAAGACAGAAAGAAAGAAAGAGCCAGGTAACAAAATGAGAAATTTCCAATTAAAATGGGAAACCTCTTGGGGCACCTGGATGGCTCATTTGGTTAAGCACCTGTCTTCGGCTCAGGTCATGATCCCAGGTGCTGAGCAGAGAGCCTGCTTCTCCCTCTCCTCCCAACTTGTGCTCTCTCTCACTATCTCTGTCTGTCTCAAATAAATAAAATCTTCTAAAAAAATAAGCTAAAATGTAAAGCCCCTTGTAGTTTCTTTCTCTTTAAAGCCTCTGATTAACAACTCCAGTTTAGAGCTTTCCTGAGGCAGCAAGAAATTCACTTCCTGAGGTACTAATGTTTTTTTCAGGCAGGATTGTCGGTCATTCCAATCTCAGACTTTCCCTTTTTTTAATGAGATGTATAATTTATTTTTCAGATTCCTCCGTGGGATTAAGAAGTCTTTTCCACATTGCATTGTAATGCTCCCTGCTCTTGGTCTTCTTTTCCATGTACTCATTCTTCAAGCATTTTCTCATCTCCCGACTGAGGTCACTGTAATGACCCAAAATTTTCAGAATGCCGGAGCACGTGGGTGGCTCAGTCAGTTAAACGTTTGCCTGATCCTAGGATGAGCCCTTTGCTCAGCAAGGAAGCCTTCTTCTCCCTTTCCTTCTGCCTGCCCCTCCCTCTGCTTGTGCTCTCTCTCTCAAATAAGTAAATAAAATCTTAAAAAAAAAATTGTTCAGAATGCTGTGGGGTTCGTGACATTCCTTAAGCAAGTTTATCAAGGCATTACATTCTTCAGTGTGCAAGGGTGAAGATAAATCAGGATGCATGTTTAGGAGGTGATGGAGCACAGCAGAACAACCTGACTCATGGGCACACAGTACCCAGGCCAGTTCCAGGTGGCAAAGGCTCCTGTGCTTTCCACAGCTGACTCTGCTGGGCTTGGCCAGGCCCCGTTGCTCTCACAGACTTTCTCATATTTATAAAGAAATGGTGGATTTCTGCAAAATCCAATTTGTTTCATACCACAGTGTATTTTCATTACTACCTAATACCAATATATACTATACCTCTTAAAACTCCTCTCCCGTTTCTGAGCATAGCTCAGAAGATATTAATATCCAGAGAATCTTTTAAGGGAAAAGTCCACCTTTTCTCCTCTATTTCAATTAAGACTATTTCCAGATCAAAGTCTTTTCATTTCAGTTTACACAGCAGGTAGCATGAAAAAATAATCCTTTTTTGAGGGGGTGAGTGCAGGTAGTGGGTTACTTGTAAAGACAAAGTTACAGTCAACATTACAAAACATTACTAACAGAGTTCATTTACTGATTTTAGTGTTTAAGAAGTTTCCATAGCAGATCCTTTTTCTAGTTATTGCAGAATTAACGTTTCTTCCATCGTTATCCCCTTAATAAGGTAACATTTTAAAATCCCTGTTAAGTGAACAGGCTAAGAAATTAAAAATTGCTAGACAGGAAACAGGTTTTCTCATTTTACCATTGCCGTAAGTTAAGTGATTCAAAAATCATCTGTCTTCTATTACCACCCAAGTCGAGAGATTTTTTTTTTTTTTTTTTTCCAGCAGTCTGCAACTATCCTCAATTTTTCTGCTGAGATACTCAGACATCAGAGTCCAACAGGAACGTATCTATCCCCTTCCAGGACCTGTGCTGATAAATCAAATTAATGCTGATTTAAGTTACATCTGTTTCTAGAGTCTAGACTCTTGACACAGTAGAAAAAGATTGTATAATTAGAACACAATCTCCATACAGCAATTTTTTAATCAGTGGCACTAGGCAGACATTCAAATCCAATGTCAAAAGTCACAAATGGGAAGACTGGAAACTAATGAGTTTATTAACTTAGCAAATAAAGGACAAAGTTAGCATTTCTTGAAAGCTCATATACAGTATTTTGCCTCATCATTCCTCTACTATGAATTGTCCTAAGAAATCTCCGAGGGTTTTTTTTGTTTGTTTTTTAATTAACCCCAACAGTAGCTTAAAAAAAACAAAAACAAAAAACAAAAAACAAAACAAAAAAAACAGCAAAATCCCTGCTTGAATCTCTCATACCTCATCTTCTAAATTAAGATCCATGTGGAGTTCCACAAAGCAGCTGGCTGCCAAGGAGAATATAAAGTGTATGTGAGAAAATTTCTTGGAGAGAATTAAATACCTGGGAATATTTTCAGAAGGGGAGTAAATGATGTATCAAGCCATTTGTATTCACAACGGTTCTATCTGCCACACAGAGTATATAGATATTGATAGATAGAGACCCACCACTGAACCCTATCAAATTTAAAGCTGGAAGAAGGCTTAGAAATTATGAGAAAAATGAGAGTAAACTGGTTAACTTTACTTTCTCAGTTATGCAGAGGGGAAAATCCTGGTCTCCTAACTTCCAATTCACTGCACTACAATATAGCTGCTCTTATTTTTCAAGCAACTCCTCCATTTTCAGTGAAAACATCATTTCAAGGGGCAAGAAATTACTTAAATGAGAACAAGGGTATTTTTCACTGAACTCCGACAGTTGTGGAAGAGTCTCAACCATTCTTTCAGTTCCCCAACACCTTATCGCGCACAGCACTACTGATCAGCAATGACTTAAGTTCTTCCAAGTGGTCTTGTAACCCTGGGGAGCTCTTCCTTCTCATCTCCCTCTTTTGTTTTTAAACTCCTCCTTTCCCCCCACAACATACAAAATAAGAGCTTTTTCAAAACATTTTAATAACCTAGCAGTGATTCAAAATAGGGAAAGAAAATTCAAACTTGTTCCCGTAAGAGGGAGGCTACCATGACTGCTCTGCACAAGCACGATCAAGGGAAACGATGAAACAGGATTCCAAAGAGCAAGGGTGGTAAGAAGGCTTCAAGGCTCACAGTTTGAAGAGCTTGGTTTCGGAAAGTCTCTGAGGGATAGCAGAAGAGACATGAAGTTTAAGGGACCCTCAGAGGACAGGGCGCGGTTGCTGGGTCATGAGAACCTTGAAGCGTTTCTTGACGGTGATTCGGTGTCGAGAGTATTTGTCATCCGGGGAGAACCGAGCAGGATGCGCCGAGCAGGTCTGTTGTCCCATAGGGTCAAGCTTCTGCTCAAGGAAGAATGAGAGACATAATTTCAGTACAGGAGTGGTGGGAAAACTCCCATCACTGGCGTCGTAAGAGACAGAAGCTGGGATGCGGAAAGGCTGCGCGAAAGAATGTAAGCAGGAAGACAGGAGACGCGACGGTAACATCAAGTCATACACTCCCTCCACCACTCGTGGCTTCTGGGCTAATTCCCCCCACTCACCTACGCAATTAGGTAGCAGGTTTCAACCGCCCCTCCCACCTTCGCTTCCCGCCATGACCACTTACTACCCATTTTTTCCCCCTCTCACCTTCAGTGTATAGACCCGGTCTCCCTGCTCGTTGAGGTAATACTGGAGAAACATGACAACGCCGAAACAAGATGTTCCAATTTCATCCGCAGCTCTAACTGATGGTCTCACGTGTTGGCCAATTTCCTTCCGGTA